TGAAACAAGGAGCTTGCTCTTTGAGAGGATCAACAAAATTGACAAACTCTAGCCAAATTTACTAAGAAAAAAAGAGAGAATCCTCAAATAAATAAAATTAGAAATGAAAGAGGATAAATTACAACAGATACCACAGAAATACAAAAGATTATAAGAGAACATCATGAAAAACAAACTGTACAATCTACAAGGAAGGGATGAATTCTTAGACTCTTACAACCTCCCCAAACTGAACAAATAGAGAATCTGAATAGACCAATCACAAGTAAAGAGATTGAAACAGTAATCAAAAACCTCCCAAAAATAAAAGTTCAGGATCAGATTGCTTCTCTAGAAAATTCTACCAAACATTCAAAGACAATTTATTACTTAGTCTTCTCAAACTATTCCAAAAAATTGAGAAAGATGGAAATATTCCTAACATATTCTGCGAGGCCAACATCACCTTGATCCCAAAGCCAGACAAGGACAATACAAAGAAGGGAAATTATGTGCAAATATTGCTGATGAACATAGATGCAAAAATTCTCAACAAAATATTGGCAAACTGAATACAGCAAAACATTGAAAAGATCATACACCATGATCAAGTGGGATTCATACCAGGGACACAAGGATGCTTCAACAGTTGCAAATAAATCAACATGATACCCCATATTAACAAAAGGAGCAACAAAAACCACATGATCATCTCAGTAGATGCAGAGAAAGCATTTGACAAGATCTAACACCCGTTCATAATAAAAACTCTCAGTAAAATGGATATAGAAGGAAAATACTTCAACATAATAAAGGCCATATATGACAAACCCACATCCGATATACTCAAGGGGAAAAACCGAAAGCCATCCCTTTGAGAACAGGAACAAGACAAGGATGCCCACTCTCACCACTTTTATTCAACATAGTACTGGAGGTTTGGGCCAGAGAAATTAGGCAAAAAAAAGAAATAAAAGGAATCCAAATAGGCAATGAAGAAGTGAAACTCTTGCTGTTTGCAGATGACATGATTTTATATATAGAAAACCCTACAGAATCCATCGGAAAACTATTAGAAATATTCGACAACTACAGCAAAGTTGCAGGATACAAAGTCAACGTACAAAAATCAGTGGCATTTCTATACTCTAACAATGAACTAAGAGAACAAGAACTCAAGAATACAACCCCATTTACAATCGCAACAAAAAGAATAAAATATCTAGGAATAAATTTAACCAAGGAGTTGAAAGACATATACAAGGAAAACTATGAGACATTACTGAAAGAAATCAAGAATGACATAAAGAAATGGAAAGATATTCCATGAACATGGATTGGAAGAATAAACATAGTTAAAATGTCCATACTACCTAAAGCAATCTACAGATTCAATGCAATCCCAATCAGAATCCCAATGACATTCTTCACAGAAATAGAATAAAGAATCTTAAAACTCATATGGGACAACAAAAGACCCAGAATAGCCAAAGCAATCCTGAGACACAAGAACAAAGCTGGTGGCATTGCGATCCCTGACTTCAAAACATACTACAAAGCTACAGTAATCAAAACAGCATGGTGCTGGTACAAGAACAGACACACAGATCAGTGAAACAGAATTGAAAGCCCAGAAATAAAACCACACATCTATGGGCAGCTAATCTTTGATAAAAGAGCCAAGAACACACAATAGAGAAAGGAATCCTCTTCAATAAATGGTCCTGGGGAAACTGGACATCCACATGCAAAAGAATGAAAGTAGATCACTATCTTTCTCCATACACAAAAATAGACTCAAAATGGATAAAAGACTTGAAGGTAAGACCTGAAACCATAAAACATCTGGAAGAAAATATAGGCAGTACTCTCTTTGATATAAGCCTTAAAAGGATCTTTATGAAGTTGATGTCCGCTCAGACAAGGGAAACAAAAGAAAAAATAAACAAATGGGACTTCACCAGACTAAAGGGCTTCTGGAAGGTAAAGGAAACCAAGATAAAAACGAAAAAGCAACTCACCAAGTGGGAGAAATTATTTGCAAATCATGTATCTGATAGGGGGTTAATCTCCATAATTTATAAAGAACTCACGCAACTGAACTACATAAAAATAAACAACACAATCAAAAAGAAGACAGAGGATATGAACAGACATTTTTCCAAAGAAGATATACAAATGGCCAACAGGTACATGAAAAGATGCTCAACATCACTAATCATCAGATGCAAGTCAAAACTACACTTAGATATCATCTTATGCCTATTAGAATGGGTATGACCACGAAGACAAAAAATAAATGCTGGAGAGGTTGTGGGGAAAAGGGAAGCCTCATCCACTGCTGGTGAGAATGCAAACTGGTGCAGCCACCTTGGAAAACAGTATAGAGATTTCTCCAAAAGTTAAAAATAGAAATACCATATGACCCAGCTACCCTACTACTGGGTATTTATACAAAGAACTTAAAATCAACAATACAAAGAGATTTATGCATCCCTATGTTCATGGCAGCATTATTCACAATAGCCAAGACATGGAAGCAACCCAAGTGCCCAGCAACAGAGGATTGGATAAAGAAAATGTGGTGCATATATATATGTACAATGGAATACTACTCAGTCATAAAAAAGACATAATCATCCCACTCGCAGCCACATGGATGGACCTTGAGGGCACCATGTTAAGTGAAATAAGCCAGACAGAGAAACACAAACTCTGTATGATTTCACTCATATGTGGAATATAAACAAAGTTAAGGACAAAGAGAACAATTTAGGGGTTACCATGGGGAACTGGGGAGGGTGGGCACAAGGGGTACAGGGGCACATTTATATGGTGTTTGACAAATATTAATGTACAAATGAAATTTCACAATGTTATAAACTATTTAGACCACAATAAAAAAAAAAAGAAAGAAAAAGAGGAGGAACATGACCAGATATTAAGACCTATCACAAAAACCCAGGAAAAAATCAATAGCATGGCACCTCTGCAAGGACACGAAAATCGACCTATGGAACAGAATAGAGAGCTCAGAGACAGCTATAGGATAAGGGAAAACTTAACATCCGGTAAAGGAAGCCCACAAAACCGTAGGACATGCATGGAGGGAATGACTGTGAAAGAAAATTTGGACAAATTTGACTTTATGAAAATTAGCTAAAAGTACCCCAAAAACATGTAAGGTACAACGTAGTGAGTTTTCTTAACAATGCTGTATTATATATTTGAAAGCTGCTAAAAGAGTAGATCTTGAAAGTTCTCATCACAAGAAAGGAAAGTTTGTAACTGTGTGTGGTGATGGATGTTAACCAAACTTACAGTGTCGAGGATAACCCTAGTCTTCTCTGTAATGTCTCGTTTAGTGCCATAAGGACTTGTTCTCATCATCGTTTATGTCATTCAAAAGTACTTTTCCAAAACTCATTCTTCAAGAAAAAGTAAAGATCTCAGAGATATATTTTTAATGTGCATACCTGAACTCCCAGAAAGAGAGGAATCATACAAATGTGGGCATAAGGATGGATGTCTTCTAAAAGGAGGCACAGGAATTCATTGACAAGAGTTACCCACAGGGTGCAGATTAAGAAGGAAGCTCATTTTTATTGCAAATTCTTTCACACTCTTCTTTTTCGCTAAGTGCATAATTTTGGTTAAGTCTTGGATTAAAAACAATAAAAGTGTTTCTCCACCTCACAGGACCGCTGTGCTGAGCAAGACTTGGAGTGAACACTTCCTGCAAAACGCCTGTCCAGTCCAACGCCTCCTCACCATCCCCCAGCCCATGGCCTGGCTCAGGCCTCGAATCTCCTCCCTGGGCCCGATCCTACAGCTTGTCCTCTCCAGTAGGCCCCCCTAGCCCTAGAAATCTCTCTCTGCTACCCAGATCTCACCTGTCCTCCTCCTGCTCAAACACTTTCCTTGGTTCCCCATTGCCTTTGACTTAAAATTGGAGCCCTTAACATTTCACTAAAGTCTTCCACAACCGGCCTCTCCTGCCATCTCCCAGCCTCATCATCTCACCATGAGTCAGTCTTTCTCTCTCTTTCTCCCTCCCTTCCTCTCTCCTTCCCTTCCTTTGTCCCTCCATCCCTCACTCTCTCTCCCTCTCTTGCTCCCTCCTTCCCTCTCCTTTCTCTCTCTCTCCTTCCCCCTCCTCCATTCTATTCATCTCTCCCACTCTTTGTCTCTCTTTATCTCTCCCTCTCTGCTACCTTCCCTCCCTCTCTCCCTCTCCCTGTGCCCTTCCCCTCCCCTTCACTTTTGCCCACACTATCTTCTTGACAGAACTGCACAGAACTACACCCAAATGTCTACTGATCAGCATTCAAGGTCTCAGCTGAGAACTCTCTCCACCCTCAGTCTTGCCTGTCATGCTCTGAACCCAGGCCCTGCCCATGTGGACTGGGAGTGTCCCGACCTGGGATGATCCCCCACCAGGCTGGGAGCTCCTGGAAGGCACAGACCAGGGCTGGGTGCTTCCTGGGTCTCCAGGACACAGGATAGGGCTGGGAAGAGCTGGGGATGGCACAGAATTGGGGATGGGCAGGCAGTGTGGCAGTGTTTGCTGAATGGGGACTGGATGGATGAAGGTGGAGGTGTTCATGGACAAGAGTTGAGTGACTTCAATCCCCAGGTGTCCCCTGTGAACCCCGGACTGAACAATATGATAGGAGTTAGGAGCCCAGCAAACATCCAGGTGGTGAAGATGTTTGAAAGAATGTGATTTCAGAGAGAAAAGTAAGGGAGCAGAAGGGAGGTTCACTCTCTGAACATGTCCTGAGGGGCATGATCTGCCCTCACACATTGTCACTAGTTCTCTCAACCGCCCAGATCTTCTACCCAGAATGCTGTAACCTTTCCCTTGTGATCCCGGCTGGGTACCTGACCCCGTCTCTGGGCTCTGCTCCTATTCCCACTAAGCAAAAATTACAGAATCCATGAAAAGACCTTGCCACTCCCAGCTGGGGAGCAGAGCCAGGAGAGGGTTTAAGGAACAGACCATGTGCACCTGCACTCACCACTCAATCTCTTTAGGCTCGCGGTCCCTCAGGAGCTCTCGCACCTCCTGCCGGCACCGCTCCTGGTGCTCCGGGTGCCTCGCGAGGTTGTACAGGACCCAGGCGAGGCCGCTGGCTGTGGTGTCATGTCCTGAGAGGCAGCCAGACAGGTTTGGGTCTCTGGACGGCTTCAGCACCAGAAGGTGGACAGCGCCCAGACATTAAGGCCCTCAGGGAGGATAGGGAGGATGGGGGACGATGAGGTTGCCCAGGGACCACCAGCCAAGTCCCTGGGATAGAGAGACCCCTGCCCCTTCTGTAGTCTCACCCGCAAACATAAAGGTGTCAGCTTCAGCTCGGATGTCCTCATCTGACAGTTCCTTCCCATCTTCATCCTGGAGAGAAAGCAAGACCCCCAAAATCACCAGTTCCTAGTGGCCCTGAGACAATCTCTGAAGCTCCAACAGCCACCCAGGACCCCAAGCCAACCCTGCACTCCTGGACCTCCCTTTGTCCCTATCACCAGAGGCCCCACCCCACAGGCCTCCTCCTTGGCATCCTTGCCTCCTCTCTTGTCCCTGGTGGGAGGAATCAATGATCCATGAATATTTCCATGGTTCTACATGATGAGGACTTTCTGAGAAAAATATATTGGCAACCCAGGTTGCAGGATGATTGAATGGCAACTTGCCTTGGAAGTTAGAGTTTGAGCATCGCTCCAGAGCCATTTACTCACATTCTAGGATGGTAGATCCAGAGATTCCTTATCTCCCCTGGAGATAACCCTACAGAACCTACAGACTTTGCCTTCTCACTGAAGATCTGCTTATATTCCAGAAAATTCTCCTTCTCCTAATCTCCCTCTCTCTCACCATAAGGAAGAAAGGACACATGAGTCAACTGTCCTAAGTTCCAAGGTTCATACTGTGGGGTCACCTCTCTCATGATGCAAGCATGGCTGCACATACAGGTAAAAGCATCACGCCACCCTCAGAGGAACTTGGGAATGGGGAACCAGAGCCACATTTCTGCTCTGGGTACTGTTAGTGCTGTAATCAATACGTGGGCTGCTCTGATCCGGGGTGGTGACATAGATATATGTGTTGTCTAATATATATATATATTAGACTTAATAAGTTAGAGTAGAGTCCCAGGCCCTGCCCAGCATCAGTTTCAGACTTTGCCGTCCCCCAGAGCCTGCATTCCACACAGTCATCTCTAAAACATACCCCTGACCCATCCCTCCCTTCCTCAATCACCTTCCATAGCTACCCAACTGCCGTCTGTGTCACGAACAAGTTCTCCTATCTGACATTTGAAATCAAGGTGCATCCTACCTCTTGAATTCAGATCCCAGAGAAGCCCACCTTGGCCAGCAGGAGCACGTCGATGAAGTCCAAAGTCTTGACCTTAGCCTTGGCCTTGAGGAGGTCATCAAGACCCTGATCGGGGAGGGTGCGACGCCGCTCCTGGATGACAGAATCTGTGAAGTCGTGCACCAGGCGGCAGGCCCTATGGAAGCGCCATCCGTCAGGGATGAGGTGGTACAGGGAGTCCATGTGCAGGGTGATCTGCTGGTTCCGCTTTGTCACAAGGGCGCTGAGCTCCAAGACGGCAGAAATGTATTCACTAGGCTTCCTGCAGGATGCGGGCATGAAGGGAGGCAACAACTTAGCTCACCTGAAGCTCAGGAAGCACCTCCCACCAGAAATCAGGCCCTACATCCCATGGGGAAATTGAGTCTCCAGGAACAGATGGCCCCACAGACAGATGGTGGGGAGGATCCAGGAGACGTGACTCTCCAGACTTTCTTCTCTCCCTGCTTCCTATCCTGTCTCTGTGAGGTGCCTCCATGTGCCAGGTGCCCAGGGCACAGCTGAGACATCACGCTTCTCTCCTCTCTCTTCTACCAATATCTGCCCCTTCTCCTTCCAAAACCGTCCACACAGCTCAGACCTTGTCCTCTCCCAACTGACAATGGACCTAGCCTCCTCCTGAGTCTCCATGCATCCAGTGTCAACACCACCTGTGTCTACACAAGTCTTCTCTAGAGTCAGACGTCCAAGCTCAGCTTGACCCTCATCTGCTCAAACACCTTCCATGGTTCCCTGGACACCTCAATCAAGTTCATAGCTCTTTGCCTGGCTTTTGAATGTCATTAAGATCTACCCCCACCTATACCTCCAACCCCATTTCCCAGGTGTCTCCTTACTGTTGCACACACTCTGCTCATCCTAGCCTCCTGTCCTGTATTAAACATTTCTAACTACCTGAAAATATTGCTCTTTCCCTTTCCCATTCCCCACTTCAGTGTCCAGCTCAGACCCTTCTCCTCCAGGAAGGCCCTTCTGATTGCCGTGGTCAGTCCTCCCTCCATCTATTCCCTTGCATCTATAGGCTGTATTCCCTGGCCCTGGGCAAGGACTCACTCCTGGCAGTTGCTGTCAAAACTGAAGACACATTTCTGCAGACTGTCGAGGGTCATGAGGCTGATGTGCTCAAACATGTCCAGATGGGCACTGCCCTCCGAGGCCAGGCGTTTCCACTTGGCCTGGACAGAGAAGCAGCAGAGCCGGGGCTGGGATGGGCCTCCCCTCAGCCCAGCCCCAACCCAACACCAGGACGGGGTCCCCAGACCCAGCCTCTTGGCCCCAGGCACCTGTCCTGTGGAGGACCAGGCATGAGCAGGAGTGGACGCTGTTGCTGTGAGGATATGAAGACCCCACGGCTACGGGTCAGGAGACCTACATTCCAGTCCTGGCTCTGCCTGCTACACTCTGTGCACCCTTGGCCAGCTCACGGCCCCCCTCTGGGCTCCACTTGCCATCATCAGTGACAGGTCAGATGACCTGCTTTGGTGTCAGACAAACCAGGTTGGAATCCCAGCTCCACTTGTTAGCTCACTTGCCGTCTGTGTAAACTCGAGCAACTCCCTAACCTCTTTCAGCCTCAGTTTCACCATCTGTAATGGGGAAAAAGAATCTCCATCTCACAGGGACATGAAAATTAAATTAGACAACACACATCATGGAATTGCCATGTAACTTCTAGCATATAGAATGTGCTCAATAAATGCTAGCTTTCATCATCTTATTGTTATAAATTGGCTAGGAGACTGTCCCCTATGTTGGTAGTGGTAGTCCTCCATGGGCCCTGAGCACCCTGCACATTCTTGCTGGGTATGCCAAAAACACAAGGCCCTGATGTTCTTTACCTGGGCCATTTCTCAGAGTTGTTTTTGCAGCAAAGAATGTGATGGGAAGAGGAATTGTCTCCCCCCGGGCACATATCAGGCTTGCTTCCAATTGCTATGAAACTCACACAGTCCCTAAACCTAGTGCTCCTCCTGTGCATTGCAACATACTGCATGAGCAGGCATCTGTGGAAGCCCACCTGTTTCCTCCTCATGGGATTTGGGGACTTGGAGGAAGAATGCAAACCAACAATAGGCACGTGCCATTTGCTGAGCCATGAGTAATAAACTGTCCTTTGTCTCTAGTTCAGGAGTCTCATGTCTTCTGGCAGGATCCACAAAACACTAACGAGCCTACTTGTCAGCTCCCAAGTATGGAAAAGTCCCAGGCACTTCACAAAACCCCCACCTCCAATGCTTCACCTCCCTACATCCACCCTTTGCAACATGACTATGAACTTCCATGAGCAGGAGGAGCCCATTTCACCACCCTTCACTCTGGGCTGGCCTTTGGACTTGCTTTGGCCAATGTGGTAAAAATGATGAGTGATCATCCTAAACCTAGAGCTCAAGAGGCATTGCAGCCTCCTCTCAGCCTCTCAGAACCTGGCCTCTGCCGTGTGAACAGCCTGAAATGCCTTCTGGAGGGAGGGAACCACACGAGAGGATTGTCCCAGCTGAGAGCATCCTAGACCAACCTGCAGCCAACCAAGCCCCAAACACGTGAGAGGACTGAGCCCAGAACAGCAAAGTACCTGACCCACAGCTGATCCCAGATACGTGAGTGACCCCATCCACGTCCAGAAGAAGCAGCTCACTGAATCGTAGACTTGTTAGCAATAATGAAACCTTATATATTGAAAAGTGGCTTGTTACTCCATATTCAGTATTCAACATGCAATGTTCATCACTATCATCAACAGTGTCTCAGGATTCCAAGGCTTCTGAGAGGGAAACATAGAAACTAGCACATGAGCACCTACTATGTGCCAGGGACATGAGTCCGTTACGTCGTCTTGACCACCCTGCAAAGTGAGGCTCATTATCCCCAGTTTACAGCTGAGGAAACCAAGGCTCAGAAAGGAGAAGCAATGGCCCCAAAGCTACCCAGAAGAGCCAGAATTCCAGACAAGATGTCTCTGAGCCCCCATTGCCCCCGAGGCTCCAGGTAGGAGCTTGGGTTCAAGAGACTCACATGCATGATGTTCACACTGTCATTGAAAATCCTCACGTAGGACTTCAGGATGTTGAAGTGGAAGGCGGGTGTCAGCATGCGGCGGTGCCTGCTCCACTTGTCACCGCCACTCAGCAGGAGCCCATCCCCTGGTAGGGGCAGCCACAGAGAGTGAGCAAGGGAGGGCCTTCCCCTGGGCCCCAAGGTTGTCCCCAATCCCCTCACACACAGTTACTCACCCAGCCAGGGCTTCAGGAATCTGTAGAAGACCACGTCCTTGGGTGCAATGGCAGCTGACATGAGAGATAAGCCATCAGGGGCCATGGAGAGGGGGAGGGGAGGGACTTTTGAGACAAGGTGGGGCCCCAGCCAGGGGTCTGCATTCCCCCTCCAGGAGCAGCATAGCAGAAGTGGGGGCAAGGGCAGAGGAAGATGGGAGGAGGGGCGAGGTGAAGGGGGAGCACACCAGGCTGCAGCACAGACTAGAGCAAGGGCAGAGCCCACTGACACACCCCTACGTGCTTAGATGCATCCCAACATGGCACAACATGCCCCAGAATGGCTCAGCATGGCTCCTACAGGTTCCAACATGTTCTAAACACCCGAGCACAGCCCAGCACTCTACAAAATGCCTTCACAGGGACCTAGGACACTGTGTCTACCCAACACTCTCTCAGATCTCCTGGGACATCTGACATGGCCCCACCATGCACTAACATATCCTCCATGAAACAACATGCATGACAGACCCTGACATCACACAACGTGCTGTGACATGGACCAGAAGACAATCTGACATGACCCCAGCATGTCCCACAGAGAGGACTTAAACATAGTCCCATTAATGTTACAGACGTGGACCAGACTTGACCCAGAAATATCCTAAGACCGGCCTCAGACAAGACTCACATAAGGTCTCAGGCATTTCTCAGAAGGACCCAGGTCCTAGAGCTCAGAAAAACCCCAAATGTGGCCCAGGCATGACCAGCAAAAGGACCAGACAATCTCAAGTGGCATCAGACAAGACCCAAACAGACTCCGACATGCCAGGAATGTCCTTGGCAACAGCCGAGCCACAGATGTGACTGAGACCATCACCATTTGACCCAAGGAGTAAACATGTACCAGCCGTAACCAAGTGTAACATATACCAGGTGTAACCAAGGGTAACATATACCAGCTGTAACGAAGTGTAACATATACCAGCCGTAACCAAGTGTAATATATGCTAGCCATAACCAAGTGGAACATGCACCAGTTGTAACCAAGTGTAAGATATACCAAGGGGTAACCAGGTGTAACATATGCCAGCTGTAACCAAGTGTAACATACACCAGCCAGAATAAGTGTAACATATACCAGCTGTAACCTGGACCCAGGTGGAAACGCAGATGTGACCAGATGTGGCCATACAGCAGACATCACACAGACACAGCCTCAGTGTGAGCAGACACGACCAGATATCAGGCAGGTGGGGATCCAGGTAAGACAGAGGCAGTGTCATCTCCACCACGGCCCCTCCTGTCTGCACCAGGTCGCCTGCCCAGCTGGAGGCAGCACAGAGAACTCAACAGCAGGCAAGCTGTGGCCTTCAGGGTGTCTACCTGGAGCAAAGAGCACCGGCTTGATGCAGGTAGGGTGAAAGATGTGGATGACCACATGCCAGGGCCCCATCCACCAGCAGCACACGTCCCCATAGGTCCTCGCCAGGCCCTGTGTACAGGAGACCTTCCTCCGAGCTCCGAATCTGGAGAGGAGCAAAGAGGAACTGAACCACTCTTCCAGGTGGCCAGAGGGAAGGACCTGCAGGGCAGAGACCCAGACCTGAGCCCCGTGAATCCCACCCAGCAGCTCATCCTCCTCCTGGGATCCCTCCCCGCACCTTCCATACATGACAACTGAGGTCCCTCAGTTACAGGGACACAAAGGGTCTTTCCCCATTTGTTTTTGTTTGTTTTTTCCTGCTTTATCTCCCCAAACCCTCCCCCCCACCACCGTACACACTTGTATATCTTAGTTGCAGGTTCCTTCCCCATTTGAACCCAAAATCCGTGTTCACCTGACTTCTCTCCTATCCCCATTTTCCGGATAAGGAGACTGAGGCTCTGAACGATATGAACTCACTTGCCCACAGCCTTCCAGGTCATAAGTGGCGTGCCTGAGACCTGACCCCACATCTGTCTGAATCCAGGGCCTGAGTTCTTAACCTTCGAACTGCCTTGAACCCCAGAACAATAGCTCTGAGAACCCTATGCCTGCCTATCTGGGCAATCGGAGTCACAGTGACTGCATGAGGAACTGGTCCTGTGACCTAAGCCAGGCAAACTAAAGCGAGTCCTGCAGCTCTTCCTGGAACTGTTGGGAACGAGCTCGTGTTTCCATGGGAGCTGAGCTTCTGGGACTCATCTTGACCAGCGTGAGGGTGAAGCCAGCACAGAGGGACACAGAACTAACAGACGAAGACCGACTCCTGATGACACTGTCTGAGACCTGGATCCAGCCGCACCTGAAGACAAGATCCCTGGCCTGAACAGTCAGTCGATTCCCTTTCTTTGCTTAGACCATACAGAACAGACGTTCCACCACTCACAGCTGAAAGAGACCCTGGCAGCCAGAGAGCCGGAAACCTGCCCAGAGTCGCCCAGCATTTTGGTGTTGGAGCCAAGGTCCCTGTCGGCTGCTGCCTGTTCCCCTGTTCAGCCTGGTCCATCTGGAAGTCAGAAAGGCAGGGGGGCAGCAGAAGGGAGCCTGGCTGGGGTGGGGTCCGCTTGGGACAATTCCTGGGGCCTGGAGCAGGAGGGCCATGAGCTTGAAGAGGACAAGCCACAGGAGGGAGTAGAAGGAATCAACCCATCAAAGGTGGACGTCATGAAAATAGCAGCCCAGATCCTGCACCAGCCTCAAGCCCTCAAGCTCTGGCCTGGGGGTGGGCGGGGCTGAGGCCAGGCCTGGCGGGGGGCCTCGGATGCTATCTTGCCCACTGCACCCCTCTGCCCTCTGCTTTAGAAAATTTCTGCTCGTTGTTTCAGACCCAGTTGCAGAAACTCCTGCTCCAGGAAGCCTTCCAGCCTGACCCAGCAGAGACCTTGCTTCTCCTCTGGGCTGCCTCACTCATCTCCCTCTGGCCCGTTCCTCACCACTCAAGGTCGGGGATCACTCTGTCTAGACCTGTCATCTAAGAGTGAGGATCCCCCAGGACAGTGACTTGCATTGAGGCCTCTTGGGGCCCCAGGGGTGCCCAGGACAGCAGGGCAGGGGGCAAACAGCAGTGGAGGGAGGATTGGTGAAATGGGGGTTGGTGAAAACAGGAAGGGAAGAGAAAGACAACTGAGAGGAGAGGGGCAGAGGGCCAGGCTTCTGCAGGGGCTGCACAGAAGCTTGCAGGGAGCAACTAGAAGCCCTCGGATGCACCACGGCGCCACCACCACAAGCTCTGCGTGGGTACCTGAGGCGCTGACGATGGTCCGGACCATGTCGGGGTGGCAGAGAGTGACAAGGGGCATGACGGGGCCCATCCAGGTCACAAATCCCTGGGGGTAGTTGGCCACCAGCTGAGTTACGTCTCTCAAGCCCTCCTCTGTCGGAGGAAACTGCAGGCAAGGAGGGGCCGTCACTCCCCAGAAGCAGCCATGGCATGTGCCCCCTGCCACCACCTGCAGTGGACACTGTGTCCAGATTCTGCATGCATGGGGGAATCCCTGCTTCCTGCTGCTCCTTTCCTCTCAGGGCAGGAGGGTCCCTGAGGCCTCTCCAAGTCCCAAGGGAGCAACCAGGGCACAGGGAGAAGGCACGCTCTGCACACAGAGGCCGACCTTGGCTCCAGAAGATGGATTTCCCTCATCCTGAGAGTGGTTGCAGCCCCGGGGTGGCCACAGGGGGAGGTGCTCAAGGGGGAGGTTTGTGGGCAGCAGGGTGGACTCAGGACTAGACCCAGGGACTCATTCTCACATCCTTTAATGTGCTAACCTGTCCAGGGAATGGTGATAGCTTTGCAGACTAATGATCTTTCTACCCTGGCAGACCCCAGGGGAGAGAATGAACTCTAACGGTCAGTCAAGAGTGTGGCCAGCAACTATGCAAACCTTCTTGTTATGAGCTTCTGGGCATGCGACATGCTGTCTGTCTCTCTCTATCTCACAGTGCATCCTGTCTGTCTCTCTCCTCACACTACATCCTGTCTGTCTCTCTGTCTCTCACATTGCATCCTTCTGTCTATCTGTGACAGCGCGTCTTGTCCATTTCTCTCTTACAGTGCATCCTGTCTGTCTCTCTATCTCTCACTCTGCATCCTGTGTGTCTCTCTGTCTCTCATAGTGCATCCTGTCTGTCTGTCTCTCACAGTGCCTCCTGTCTGTCTCTCTATCTCTCACAGCGCATCCTGTCTGTCTGTCTATATCTCACAGTGCGTCCTGTCTATCTCTCTATCTCTGACCTTGCCTCCTGTCTGTCTGTCTATCTCTCACAGTGCGTCCTGTCACTCTATCTCTCATTACATCCTGTCTGTCTCTCTATCTCTCATCATGCTTCCTGTCTGTCTCTCTATCTCTCACAGTGTGTCCTGTCTGTCGCTCTCTCACATTGCATCCTGGTTTTCTTTCTATCTCTCATAATGTATCCTGTCTATCTATCTCTTCTGAATCTATGGACACATACACATTTTCGAAATTGCAAATGAAAATACTGAGACCATATACTCCAAGAGGAGAAAGAGTAACATGTGGCTCCTCATAATGTGAATTCTCTAGTCCATCTTGCTGTCCGTGGCTGACAAATACCCCCAGCTGGTCCACGCAGGTGATCATAACTCATTTTCACCTTTATACCCCCTCCAAGTTCCACAAGGACCTGAGGGGAGGATTCAAACACTAGTAATAACTGATCCAGAGAGGGAGAGTCACTCAGCCAAGGCAACAGAGCAAGAGGGGCTGGAAGACGGAAGACTGTCCATGACGAGCCCCCACATCTGAGCCCTCAGAGAGGGAGGCAGACCTGCAGGAACCACGGCATTCCCGCTGCCCTGAGGGCCCAGAGAACATCCCAAGACCCAGAATCCGAGGAATGCCTCACAATGAGCTTTGGAACATCCCTGTTCTGAACTTTGTCACGAGAACAGTGAAATCACAGGAAGTGCTCCCCTGAGCTGCAGCTCTCGCCCCAGGAAGGGAAGGAAAGCTGTGCTCATCCCTCAGCTGGTCCAGAGGACGGAAGGAGCGGGTGGTCAGCTCTGGCCATGACAGAGAGGGGTGAAGGCACGTTCTCCACCCAGGTCATCAGCACTTGTTGTGAGCGCCCACTGTCCACCAACCCCTGCGCTGGCCCTGCCATGTCTGCTCCCAGAGCTGCCATCAAGGTGGAGAGATAGATAATAAGTACTTGGACAATTAATGTTTAGTTAAGCATGAGCAGGACCAAGTGAAGGTCAAGGCCTGGGTGTGGGCAGGCAGTGGAACAGGCCTCTGAAAGGGAAGTGAGTGGCCTAGTTCCTCCAGGTTGGACAACGGGGCCCAATGGGACATCTTGAGGGGGAGAGTCAGATGAGAGGAAGGGGTCCCAGAAACGGGTGGGGAGCTGTGCCCAGTGGGTGGGGGTGGGGAGGACTAGCTAAATCCTGTGGGGAAACTGTAGCCCAGCGTGAGCAGACTCAAGAAAATGGGCCAGGCAGAGTGGACCCTGGACAGTGCCCCCAAGGCCATCTCAAGCTCAGCGGTGGAGACTGGGAATGCCAGGGGTCTCGCTCTGTGCAGCCCTCCCTGGGAGCCCCTCAGAGCTGCACTAATGCATCCAGAGCAGGCTTGGGGTGGGGGACAAGGATGTGGCAAAGGCCTGGGATGGCAGAGCAGAGGAATGAGTGAGTGAGCAAGGAGGGGCCGCACAGGCCTTCATCTCACTTCCACTCTCCTAGACCACAGCCCAACCCCGAGCCCCTTTCCCGACCCCTCAGGAAGTCCACCCACCCTGACGCCCCAGACCCCTCCTGCTGCCACACTCACCAGGCCCAGGTGACCCAAGAACCAGTTCCGTTTGGGGGGCTGTGGAAAGCATCGTAGGCAGCGAACAATGTCATAGAAGGTGTAGGTCCAGACCAGGATGCGGGCCAGGAGCCAGGAGACCCCAACCAGCAGCAGGAACAGCCACAGGGAGGCTGCCACGGGCCCGAGTCCCAGCCAGGACAGGCTCAGCTGCGGCATCCTGCAGGGCACACGGGGTGGAGGGCAAGCTCCTGGGGCCCAGGAAAAGCCAGGTGTTGGTGAGCTTGACGCAGAGACGGACAGCTGACAAAGAGGGCAAGGACCAAGGGTGTGAGGGACAGGACAGGGAGAGGCAGGAATGGTGAGGGGTGGGGCCAGGGCAGGGAGGGCTCAGAGAAGGGCACAGAGAGGGGAGGGGGTCCATGGAAATCCAGAGGAAGAGGAAGAAAGAGACAGAAAGACAGACAGATAGAGACACAGAGAGAGAGAAGCAGAAGATAAAGAGGAAGAGAGACTAAGGAGGAAAGGCACAAACTGAATCAGTGGGAGGTTTCCAGAGGCTCCAGTTACAGGAAGTCCAGGGCTGCTTGCTCCCTGGAGCCACCCCTGCCGTGGGCAGTGCCCTCCCCACTCCAAGCCGGCACCTCCTTCCCTGGACCCCAGCCCACACCTCCTGTCTGCAGCTGCACACAGCCTCCTCTCCCCTGCTCCTGGGAAGTCTCTGCCCCTGGACCCTGACCTGGGGAGGCTGGCAGGGCCAGGCTGTGTCAGCCAATCCCCACGGACCTGCTTACTTCCTCTCTACCTGGCCACAGGCCCAGATGGAGGTCGGGGGAGGGGAGCCAGTGTTGTCAAGAGAGGCCTATGAACCAGCTCAGGGTCACACACCATGGATGCTGGCTCCTCAGTACTCAGCACCTTTCTCGTGGGCTGGAGGGCGAAAGTTGCTGGGCGGGCAAAGGTGTCTCTGGGCCCAAAGTTTACAGCCCCGCCTGCCCTTCCCAGTTCAGGGTGTAGAAGATGAAAGTTTGCATTCGAGAGTTCAGGTGCCAGATGAGCAAGGCCAGGCCAAGCCTTGTCCCCACACATCTCCTGGGCTATTGTCCACGTGAGGGACCAGGTGGGCATCATGCACTGTTTCTCAGTGAAGAATCAGGAAGTTCAGAGACAGGGAGCCTCTGGCCCCAGGACAGCACAGCCTGGCAGGAAGCCAATACCTGCCTCCAGGCAGCCCAGGGCCTATGTTGCGACATGAGTGCTGGGAGCAGGAACAATGACACCAGCCTTGTGGGGATCACCGATACGAGACTCTAGGGTAAGGAGCCCCGTCAGGCGAGGGCACGTGGAGGAGTGGGGGGTGAGGCTGCAGGGGTCGTGAGAGCACGGGGTGCAGACAGCGGAAGGCAGAGCTGAGAGAGCCTGGGTGGAGTCATGCCCGTCCTCACTCTGACTGTGGGCTGTGCCGGCCCTCTCTGGGCTCAGGGTTCCATCTGGGAAACGGGATGTCAGATGAGGGCCTGAAGGGGGCAGAGGAGGGTTCCACAGGAAGGTGAGCAGGATGAAGAGCCCCAGAAAGACAGAATGAAGGGAAAGGGCAGGTAACTAGTCCTTGTGCTGCTGTGTGCCAATACTCCACGTAAAATAGACCTACTCTGTGCAGAGGATGGTATGTAAAGGGTGCCTACTATGTGCTGGGTATCTCACAAAACATCCCTATAGCCAGTCAGGATCTCTACATAAAGCATACCTACTGTATGGCAGGTATGCTATATAAGGGGCATGTACTGTGTGCCAGGTACTCTCCACAAAGTGTGCCTACTGTGTGCCAAGTGCTCTACATAAATCCTGTCAACAGTATTCCAGGTGTTCAAGATAAAGCATGCCTACTATGTGTTCAAGACTCTCCATAGGGCATGCCTATTAAGTGCCAGGTGCTCTACATAAAGCACATCCATTACACACTGGGCATTCTACATAAGCACGCCTACTGTGTGTTGTGTGCTCTGTGTAAAGTATGCCTACTGTATGTGTCAGGTACCCTACATACAGTAAACCTATTCTGCCCAAAACACTTTACATAAAGGGTGGCTACTGGGTGCCAGGTACTCTAGAAAAAGTATACCTACTATGAGGCCATTACTCTACATAAATCCTGTCTACTGCATGCCAGATGTTCTACATAAAGCATGCCTACTGAGTACCAGGTATACTACGTTAAGTGTGCCTACTGTGTGCTGGGCACTCTACATAATGCATCCCTACTGTGTGCAGGGTACTATATGTAAAATGCTCTTCCTGTGTGTCAGGTGATCTACGTAAGTTAAAACTACTGTATGCCAGATGTTCTCCCAGTGAGATAAAGCATCACGCTCCCCTAATCTCTGGGCCAGCACCCTGGGATCAGGCAGAGACCCAGGTGATGCATCTGCATGAGGGAAGATGCCTATTTAACTGAAGAGTGAATGGAGGCACAGAGTGGGCAAGCCTCGAGCCCAAGTTGCATGGCTGGTCATGCTCCCATGCCCAAGCCTTTCCCTCTGCCATGCTGCTCCACCCCCACTCGTAGGGGACAATGCCCCATTAATCCAGGGACATTTGTGATGGTGGAATCAAAGGCAATGCGGTGACCCCAGAGGGGACATCTTGAGGCCCTTGTGTTACCCCGTGAATCATCCTCCCACATCCAGGAGGCACCACCCAAAGGATCTAGTTCTCCCCTCCTGGGCCTCCCCTGATCCTGTCCAGAAGAGCCCTGTAGGATGGTCTCAGGTGAGGAACTCAAATGATGGGGCTCCTGGCAGAGCTACAGAGCGGGATGGTGGGGGAAAGACAGTTCCCCTGACACTGGTGGGATGTTGGGGAGACCCCAAACCTCCCTCTCCCCATCCCACTGGCTGGGGGATTCAGGTCCTAGAGCTCTCAGTGCAGTGGGGTGCACCGTCACCCCAGAATCTCCTCCCCCTCACTGGGGCAGACCACCTGCTGGCAGATCCATCCATGTCAGGATCAGGGGGACAAGGCCAGACAATGATAAACCAGGCAGAGTCTTGGGACACACAGGAGAAAGGGTCCTCAGTGCCCAGCGGTGCTCAACTCACTGCGGACCTACTGTGTGCCAGGAATATGCAGGCAGCCGAGAGCAGGAATGGTGGCCACCACCAGTAACTGGCAACAAGCCACTGAAGCTGTTTTAAGCCCTTTAGACATATTACCCACTTTTTTCATTTTGTGGATGAGTAAACTGAGGACGAAAACTATTGAGTGACTGTCCTAAGTCACAGAGCTGGTGGAGCCAGGCTGTGCACCAGGCTTCACACTGGGTGCCCTGAGCCACTAAGCTGTGCTCCTTCATGTCTGTAAATGGGCATTTAGTTAGTGCCATCTCCCCCAATGTGGGAATAATCGAAAGAGACAATGCACATAAAACACACAGGGCAGAGGAAGGGCCTAACAAATGCTCCTCAATGTGATTGTCATTGCTACTGTTGTGTCATGTAATCATCCCACAGCCCTGCAGTATCGCGTTCGTGAGCCGATTTTTCAGAAGAGGAACTGGAGGCTCAGAAAGATGAAGCAACTTGCTCCAGCCACACAGCAAATTAGGTAAATGTGACATTGCAGGTGACAGCACAACTTAGCACATAGGTGCTCATTAAATATCTGGGGAAGAAGAAAGCATTGCAGCCATGAGCTCTAAGGCTCGGCTCTTCAAAGTGTGGTCCTCAGACCTCCACCATCGTGTCACCTGAGAGCTTGCAGGAAATGAAGAATCTCGTGCCCCCGCCCGGAATGCTGACTCAGAATTGCATCTAAGTAGATCCAGAGGGGAATTGTGCACACGCCTTCAAGTTTTAAGAAGTGTTGCTTTAAGACCCTTGAGTCCGGGTGCTGTGAGGGATGAGGGAGGGGAGCACCTTCACCCCTCTGATTCTCAGAGTTTTTTTCAGTTATGAAATAAGGAGAAATATCTATACCTCCTGGGGTTGTTCACGCATATGGTATATGTCTACCGAACACCCATTGAGTGCCAGGCCCTGAGGATGCAGCAGTGAGCATGGCAGACACTGTCCCTGCTGCCAAGGAGCTCATGCCCAGTGGGGAGATGGACACCAGTCAAATAAATGACCAAGGACGTATCAGACAGTGATAAGCAATGGGCCTGGTGGAGGGGTCCTACCTTAGGCCAGGGGTCAGGGTGAGCAGAGATCTGAGTGTACAGAGAAAGCCTCCAAAGGCAAGCATGAGGTGGGACACCCAGGCTATGCGAGAAGGCAAGTGGAGTCTTGTCCCTTTGACACTGGGGCTGAGAGCACTAACGCAGGAGCTTGTGCCATTGCTCCTTGGGAAGCCCAAGGTGGACAGCAAATCCAATCCCACATTAAAGCTATAAGTGAGTGTGGACCTTTCACTGGCCATAGCAAGGACTCAAATCTGGGCAGGCCTCTGCAGCCATTAGGAGGGCAGGGTCTGGCATCCTAGGGCTCCCCCCCTCCTGAGTCAGGTGACAGCAGGGGAAAGGAGGCCAGCATGGCAGGCAGGGAGCCTCACGTGGGGGTTTCTGTTCTGAGCCTGGGGAGGCTGGAGCATCCGCAGTGGTTTCTCATTCAACACAGAATGTGTCAGCTGCCAGATCACAGCAGCCTGGCTTATGGAATGTCCCCCAGCCAGTGGTGGAGCAGGGAGCCATGCACAGGAAGACAGAGGCTGGCTCTTCTCCAGGGTCCCTCCACCCCACCCAGAGCCAGGCAGGGGGCATTCATGCGACAGACAAGTGGTGGTGGTCACTCTGTGAGTCTCCAGCTTCAGGCACCACCTGTCACCCCTCTGAGCCTCAGTCTCCACATCTGTAAAATGGGTCTGAGAAAAGCTCAGTGTTGAGTAATGTCAGCATCATGGTGGAGTGAGCCATTCCCTTCATCTCTCCCCTATGAGTTACAAGCAGTCAGACATCCAGTGACCCACAAAGTACTCCCTGCTTAGCACACCACAACAGCTGAGTGATCCATGCATCTATACATCTGAAGGTGGCCAGATGGGGTCTCCAAGAGGCAGTGAACCTAGGAGGGAAGCCCTTCCCCTTCCCCAGGAACAGCAATCCAAAACTGTATGCTCATATCAGCGGGCACATCAGCACCCACAGGCTTCAAGGGCAAACACAGCACATGTGGCTTGGCCCATGCCCCCCAGTGGTGACAGGTGCTGCACACATCCTGAGGCTCCAGGACTCAGCAGAGCTGGAAGCCCGGCCTCTCCACCTTTCCCTGCAGTGACGAGGTCTTCCCAGCAGTGGGGATGCAGAGATATCAAAAACAACAAGACATCAGCAACCTCAGAGGCACAAGCAGCACAAAGAGGGCACTGATGGTGCTTCTAGTAGATAGAGTGGAGGGTGGAAAGTGCAGGCTCTGAAATACAACCAGAACAGCTCAGAACCA